GTGAATTAAGCTTGTTCCAAAAGCAGTAATGCCATTTTGTAGAGCTTGTTTTGCTCTAACGAATAGTATCTTTTTCGAATGTACATGCATTAGGGCTTGAGAAATAGCAGATCTAGGCCCGTAGTGAAACTCGGTCATGGGAGATGATCTTCCTTGAGGCCCTCATGTGAGGTCCATCAAGTGCAGTGACGACCATTCACACCTGCGTACTCAAAAAATGCAACGCCACCTGAGAGGTGAGCTTCAGGTGACGTCCGTATGGGAGATCATTTCTCTGAGCTTCATGGGAGATGATATCAGCGATGATGTCCCGAAATAGTGTGCTAAAGAGAAGGCCCAGAGAAAATTTCCGTAAGTTACTCCTGACTAACTTATAATACATCTCATGGCAGCCAATAATGCAGACAGACTTAGCGCAAAAGTGCACTACTTTTCCTCCTCGGCGTGTGTGGAGAACATGACGTATGTAATTCGCCCATGAGCAGACCAACTAGCATAGCATAAAATTCAGGCGAAAACCTTCCTACATTTGTGTTTTATCGTGTTTGCTATTCTTGTATTGGAGAGGGACGTTTGCAAACAAGCGCATGCGCTCTTTTGCTCTCTCTTTCGAATCCAGAGAGCACAATACTAGTCCATCAGTGAAATTCTTAAGGAATTCCTCAGCAAAAGCCAAAGGACAGTGTGGTTTTTGTAATTTTCCGCATGATTTTCCTTACCTAGTAATCCTGTTGCGTCTCGCTTAGCTATAAAGTTCCATTATATCATGATGATGTTCCGTTTACTCGCTAAGTGTGATTTTATCTCTGTACAAGAGATAAATCTCAAGTAAAATACCCTGTGGATATGGATCCTCATTTTCTTCGTTTCTTTAGAGGGTTTAATTTTAATTTTGTCTTTCTAGTACGTCGGAGTGTTGTGCAGTATCATTTCACGAACTGGAATGACTACAAAGCACCTGAGCGCTCCAAAGGATTATTGCGGCTTTTGAATCGCTTACGAGAATTGGCAGAATTCAACGATGGTCTTGTTGTGATACATTGCAGGTAATGACCGTGCAATTTCTTTCCTTTTTTGTGCTGTGAAGTGGCGTTCTCCATCTTTTTTGTGTACTGATTGTGAGACTAAAAGCGTTTGATTGTTCAGCGCTGGCTTCGGTCGAACAGGAACATACAATGTGTCTTCATCCAAAAGGCTACGGCTGAGTGGCATCTGTTTGGCTACACGGATATGGATTTTGAACAGCTGAAAGAACATTATCAAGATTTGTTGGAACCAGCAAATGAGTAAGCATTGAGGAATTTTCGCATTTGTTTGGACTAAACCAGCTTTCAGGGACCGATCATCGTCATTTACTAATACAGTCACACCTGTCACACGTCCTGATGTTGCACCTACTACAGGGATCTAGGTGGAGTTCCGTGTAGGTGCATTTAGGAACATTTTGTATTTATTCTACACTATTATATATTGTTTTCTAGAGTATATGTGCGCTACAAATGGCTGTTTTTCTCAGAATTTTTATGGAAAACCCATTCTTATCCCTAAATCCTATTTTGAACCTCCTATTTTTAGAGACTTGAAAGGACTCTGGAAACTCCTGCGAAGTGCTCGTTTGCAGCCAACGAAGACAATCTGATGAAAAATTGAGTTTAATTTGGCAGTACCAGATGATCGTAATCGTATCGTACTATGAGCATCGATCGCTTATGCCGATACTACTTTTTATCTATTTTTATCCGGCTATTTTTATCCGTGTGTTTTGGCACAAGATCCAATAAGTGAAA